TTAGAAGTGCTTAACTTTGGCTGAGGTGAACCCTATTTGTAATGAGTATTTAACTGTTTACCCATGGTTTACAATTAGTAATAGTGGGAGTAAGGTACTGACAGATGATTATGGGACTGCAATTCTTATTTTCAAGAAAATCTCACAAATATTTCTGTGATTAAAACTGCTATAATATGCCTGTTGTTAAAGACAGATCAAATTAAAAAAATTAAATAAAATATTCACAAGTCAGATAGAGGTACGATGGTGAAAAACTGCCCCCCAAATAAATGAATCACAAGTAACTATATTCATTTAGCCGATGTTTACGTTTTTCCATGTTTGCATATAATAGTGAGCAGGGCTTTTTTTGTAGAAAAAGCCCAGCAGGAACTCATTAGCATAATAGGCCACAACCAGCAGCAGAAACTCATTAGCATATTAGACCACACCCTGACAGCACAGCTCATTAGCATGTTAGGCCACACCCCATGCCTTCCTTTGGCTTGCCTGGGCACCCCATGGCTGCGGGGAGTCCGGGCAAGCCGGCCCTTGGACAGGCTGGGGAAGGCACGGGGGGACATTTAAATGCCTCCCCGATCCTTCCAGGGCCTTCCCTGCCCCCCCCCGCCTCAGAGTCACGGGGGGGGGGGTCGCTCTCCAGGCCTTCCCTCTGTAGCCACACATGCAGAGGTTTTGTCTGCAGTGGGCGTGGCCAACTCTGAAGCCAGCCGGAACTCCGTTTCTGTGTGTTCCTGCCCAAAAAGCCGCCCTGAGCCCGCTTGCGGGGTAGGGCGGGGTAGAAATACTTATAAATAAATAAATAAATAAAAATAGCCCTGATAGTGAGGACCACTTGTTACCAACATTAATCTTTGTTAATTTTCTCCTTTCAATATAAAAAGATGTACAGTGAAATAATGGAAACAGTCCTTTCCCTGCTGCATAGCAGTGCTTCTTGGGTTGTAGTAACAGTTATTGTAAGATATAAATAATGGTTGTAACAAAGTTTTACCATCTATTTCAGTCTGAAGCTTGTTTCTTTCTCTTTCTATCTCACTCCTGGCTCGTGCAGCTTCCAGCTTGATGTTTGTTATTTCTAACTTGTTTGAATGCTTAACTTCTTCAGCCTACAGAATTGAATAGAATTTGTTAGCAGATTTCAGTTTCTCTCATAGTATTTTTCAGAAAGGGTTAGAGGCAGTGCTTTCAAGTATCTACTGGTTCCAGAGCCGTGTGATCAATGGTGGACCTTTCCCTCCTATGCAAGAACTGCTGGAGATGTTCCACTCAATAAGAGCTTTGTATATCTGCTTGATGAAATGATATGGCTTCTGTTGCCTACTTTTGGGCAAACTGTCCAATTATCCCTACTGTCTGGCCTAGGATCGCCTAGTAATTGATACACACAAAGTCTATACATGGTGCAACGCAACATGGGTGTGAGCCAGATCCATACATATACCAGTAGGTCATGTTCACATGATTTGCTCAGACCTCATATAGAATATACCTTTGTGTGTCAGTCGATCCTAGGTATTTTTAATATCCCAATCAATTGTACCTTATCTTATGCTGCATTCAAATATCACTTTGACATTCCACTTACATGTGCACAAACCTGTCTTGCTGCTGTGTTTGCCCATGCAGCTCACTCCTCCCTCCCTCTCTTCTCATGCAGAGAATCCTGGCTAGAAACTATCTCTGATTATCCATATTATATGAATTCTGATTAATGTGGGTTTAACTGGAATCAGCCACCCTCCTCAAAACTGGGATACTTAACCAGTGTTAAATCCAGGTTTAGAATCCTGATTTGTAGGGAGAAAAATGATTCCAGATAATTCACGTACTTGTATTTGTACATCCTTCTCTACCAGTCTAGAACAGTTTAAATGCATCTTTCTGCCTGCATCTAAACACTGGCATTTTTCAGTGGAAGGCAGGCATTGCCTGAACTAAAACATTCTATGGCTTAACCTGTTCTAGTGCAGTAATTACAGCAGCCATGAGAATTATGTAACTAAAGAAAACATCTCAATATCATAATCCATTAGCAATGTCAAATGGAATCACAGCTTGCCAGTCTGCAAAAGTTACAGAAAGAATTACATGGTACCTTAGTCAGTACACTGTGAATTCTGATATTTTTGGCAAAGATTTATTGTTTGCAGTATAGCTTAATAGGCTTATAATAAACCATTTATGCACTGAAGTAAGCTCACTTCTCTGTCATCATTGCATCTGTGCAACGCCATCTGGAGGAGATTCTCTGGGTCGTAAAGGGGCTCTCATCCCAGATCCCTGAGGATGTAGACCAGGAAAACATACAGGCCTGCTGTGACTCTTTTGTGATACATTTTGCAGATAAAAATGCTCGCATCTGCCATGACGTAGATGGCACAGTTGTGACAGTTCAGTTTCAGGGTGCCATTGGATTGCAGTTTGGTCCTAGATGTATGAATGACTTTCATTTGGTGAGGCCTGATGAAGTTGACTAACTGTTTAGAAGTGTGTGGTGCACCATGTATAGGCTTGACCCTTACATTTCATGGGTGTCGGTGTCAAGCCAGGCAGGGTTGATCAAGTGGGTCCAGAAGGAAACAAGCAGTCATGAGACTACTCCTGAAGAATGGATCTCTAGACCCCACTGACCTCAACAAATACCACCCGTTGTCTCCCTATCCTTGCATTACTTTCTCTTAGCCGTACTGGAACAGAGGTGTGCGGGGGGGGGAGGTTTGGATATTCGTTTTTCCTAGTTCAAAGCAGTTCATCTATATTCTCCATTTGATTCATTCTTGTGCTTGCAGTTTGAACATTCTCACAATGTTTGGAGATGACTACTTGAATCTACACATTCATCACAGGACTGTTCTAAACTAGGGGGTCGAACCTTGATGAACCTGTGGGCATGTTTCAAATTTTGGAAAAGGTAACAGGCATCATGACAAGAGTGGAAAGCTAAACTTTGGAATATCCCATATCAAGCCTTCCCTCTATGAGGAAAGCAGCTATTTCCAAATGGGCAGACCCCCTTCTAAGGTCTTGTGAAGCACCTGTTGCTCCGATGTGAAACTGGAAAACCAGGATCAGTTCTTTACTTTGGGGAAGATGCAAGTGTACAGCAGGAAATGTATTAGTGGCTCCATGGCACCCATGGGCTCCATATTAGGGAATCACCCTTTTAAACATCCACTAGCATTGCTATTATAGATTAAATACTCAAGAACCGATGTAAATTTTGCTTTGAAAGGCAGCCTTTTAAACTATTAAAAACTATTGTGAGTATTAACAATACTGTCCCTGTACGGTCTCAGCTATGTTTTATTAAGTAATCATATTTACGTCTTAGCTGGTAAATGCTTTACTTTTTATCTGTTCTGTTATCAGATTTAGCTTCGCTCCCCTGTGTTAATACAATTATTTTCTTTTTTGCCTGTCATTTTTTCCCATTGAAGGAACTGACAATATTTTTGGCCAGGGAAAAAAATCCAGTTCTAGCATATGAAATTTGGAAACATTTTTTACATTTATGTCAATAAACACCGCAAATTCACTGACTAGGCACCTGGGATTTTCCAGATCTGATTGTAGATGATGACTGATTATCTCTATGCTAGCAAACTCTCACATGGCTCCACTGGACAAGGAAGCAACTTCAGTCTTGGCACTTTGAAACAGATGGCAGCTTACCTCCTCAGTACCATTCTAGCATCTCGTTTGTCCAAACCTTGGGCCTCTCATAACTCTAAAAATTCTTGCTTCTACTTGTATTTTCCTACTAATTGTTAGGGTTGCCACCTCCATGTTGAGAAATTCCACCGAGAGGTGGAGCCTTGGGAGGATAGGGGAGGGAATCCAACAGGGCATAATGCCATAGAGTCCACCATCCAGAGCTGCCATTTTCTCCAGGGGAACTGGTCTTTGCCATGTGAAGATCAATTATAATTCTGGAGCAGCTCACAGGCCCACGTGCAGGTCAGCAGCCCTACTGATTGCCCTTCTTCTCTTCTCACTTATTTCTTGCCTTTCAACAACTCTAAACAACTATCACCTCCAGTAGTCTTTTGTGAGTGTTGGCTTTTTTCTTTCCTAGAATTCAGCTTTACACAGCTGAGCAGCTGAGCTGTATCATTTTAGACTGCAATTAAGGGCCATGTGACTAAATGATCTGCTATACATATACTTTCCCTTTGATTAGAAAACTAGAAATGTCAGGGAAAATGCTAAACTAGAAGCAAGCACCCTGACAACTAGCTTTCTATTTATGGGGGAAATTTGTATCTGAAAACATTCAATTCTATGAGCCTCTCAAGTACAGTCTGCAGTGGTGCACCCCAGACTCAGGTTCACTAGCTCAGTGAGAAATATGCCTCTGAACAGACAGCACTGAGACAGATTGCCAATGGTTGATCTGAGTATAAGGCAGTTTTCCTAATGCCTATTAAATGTGAATTCTATAAGTCATCACTGCCTTAAGCATTTGCACCAGAGAACAAAATGTTAGGGATGCTTTCCAAGCATAGTAAGAGTATGGCTTCTCAAGCACTGAATTACAAGAAAAGAAAAAAAGAAAAGAAAAAGAGAATGGAGACAGTTTGTCTCCAAAGAGACACTTAGCAATAATGTTTCCTGCAACAGCTCTGAAAATACAGCCTATAAACCATAAAAATGCACTTACTTTAGTAGTCAAAGCACTGATCTCCCGTTCTGCTTTATGCAGTTTGCTGGTTAAGACTGTATTTTGCTCATTACTCAGCAGCAGTTCTTTTTCAACACGTTCTAGCTGCAGTTTAACCGACTGTTTCTCTGCCTTCAAATTAAGAAAAGCAAGTTTTAAGATGCTGTATGGAACAGACTCCTGGACCCTATTCCTAAAGCTTTTTATGCAGAAGGAGTTTCCACTGATATTACAGGAATTTACTTTCAGATGTGCACTCAGGATCCATCTGCAATATATTTTTAGCCCTCAAATCTGGTTGGAGTTTTGGTACTATCAGAACATAAGCTACACATTAACAAATCTTAGACGGTACGCTGCTTTGTAATAGGGACTCAATTTCTCATGAAACATCTATTAGAGTTTAGGCACTACATTATAAAACAACAGCAAACTGATGATTAAATAGAATATTAATTGTACATCAAATGTTACACTGTAGTTTAAGATTAGAATTAACATATATAATTATTTCTTTCTAAAGGCATTTGTGTAATTTCTAGAACCACAATATCTCTGTTCCCTCTGCATTAAATCACTTCTAACATTTCTCAGCCCAAAAACTCTACCTAGTAATTATTGGCAACATCATGACTTAACAGGTTATGTAAGTAAATAGTCCATTCACATTTCTAGTACTCCTTTGCAAGGAAACAACCTTATCAGAGACAGAGTCAGGTGGAAGCCATGTCTTTGATAGCTTCATAAAGGTTTGGGGCTATGACCAAATTCTACGTACACCCCTGAACATTGTCAGCGCACACAGGAAGGGAAGACAGTGGGAACGCCTTACCTCCAAGGATCTCACTGCAGCCTGCATCTCCGCTAACTGACGTACTTGTATCCTTTGTACATTTTCCGCTTGCATACCAGAATTTTCTCTCTGGGCTCTGAGTTCTGTTGCTTCAGCTTCTAATCCCTTTAATTTCTGGACTAGCTGGACCTTTTCTCTTAGCAGTGCTTCCACTCGTTTGTTGTCTCTTGAAGGATCAACACTAAGAAGCTGGTTATGCAAGTCTTCTTTATCTTTCTCCAGTCTTGCTACCTGTTGGTAGTTGAACAGACCAATGCTATGGGCACAGGAATCCTGGTTTACACGACACACAGAACAGGAGGTCTTGATAGCCGTGTTAGTAGGAATCACGGATCTCCATTCCTTGTAGTTATCCCTCACACTGCCTGAAGACTCCCCAATGGACAGGAGGGAAAAGGAACCCTCAGCATGCAGAAACTATACTAGTATTCAGACTGAACCAGGTCCTACATGTTTATATTGACATAAACATCACATTATTAAGCTAGCTAATCAAGTAGTGACGCTATTAGTTGATAAACCCAGAATATTAGTAAAATGCATAAAATATGAAGTAGTATCTGTACTAATGGCTCCTTCCTTCTGTTGGGAAATGTAAAGACAGAGCTAGGAAGTGGTCTCTTTCCCATTTCAGACAGAGACACATCAATACTTTTTTTAAAAAACTAGTGATTATTTTCACTTTATTAAGAATAGCAATGAAACAAGAAAATTATTTATTTACATTATTTATTTATTTTTAGACTTATACCCCATCCCTGGGTCACAGGGCTTGAGATGGTAGACAGCATCTAAGATTTTAAAAAATCCAATAAAACTACCTATAAAACCTACTTACAAAAACATTACATTACTATCTATAAAATAGGATCCTAGCTCAGGCACCAGAATAAAACACAATCGTTTAACACCCAACCAACACCCCAGACTGTTGTAAAAAAAATCCCAAAAACAGGTGGCACTGCTAATAGGTGGTAGAAAACTGGTTTTGACTGTCCTCAACAGAAAGCCTGGTGGAACAACTCCATCTTACAGGCCCTATGGAATCTAGAAAAAAATCCCAGAGGGCCTGGATGTCACCAGGCAGGGGCCACTCTAGAAAAAGCTCTTACCCTCATTGAGGACAGTTGAACTACCTGTGGGCCAGACACTACCAGCAGAACACGTGCTTGCTTATTTGAGAGTAAGCTTTATTGAACACAGAGAGACTCACTTCCAAATAAACATATACTGGATTGTACTATAAACTGTCTAAAAGGTAAAGGTTCCCTTGCTCGAAAGCCAGTCGAATCCGACTCTAGGGTTGCGGTGCTCATCTCCGTTTCAAAGCCGAAGAGCCAGCACTGTCTGAAGATGTTTCCGTGGTCATGTGGCCGGCATGACCAAGGCGCACGGAACGCTGTTACCTTCCCACCGAAGTGGTCCCTATTTATCTACTTGCAATTTCTTGCTTTCGAACTGCTAGGTTGGCAGGAGCTGGAACTAGAGACAGGAGCTCACCCTGTCTTGCGGCACCCGGGTCTTGAACCGCTGAACTACTGACCTTCCACAGCCTGCAGTTCAGTGTCTTAACCACTTGAGCCACCGCAGCTCTATCTATGCACATGAAATTCTGCCTGTTTCATAAAAAGCCAACAAAACACATGACCTGAGGTTTTTTGGTATATTTTCTTTCTTACCTCAGATTCATATTTTAAACTTTTTTCTTCTAAAATGCGGGCATGCTCTTCTTTCTGATGTTCAAATTCTGATTTGAGAAAAGTATGTTCATAACGAAGTTTGTTATATTCTGTTCTATATTTTTCTACTTCCTAGATTGAAAGGAACAGATGTGTGACTGAACTGAATCAACTTGAATCAAGAACAGGCGCGTGCACACACAAAAAAGGCAAATAATATTTACTGAATGCAAACTGAACATGAGTTATATTGTGTTGTAGATGGGGTTTAATGACATTTTAGGTTGTATTTGCAAAAGCATTATCAGGTAAGGGATTACTTCCTTAGGTAAGGGATCTCTTTGGCTTTAACTCGTCAAAGGTGGGATCCTAGCTCCAGCCCGTGTGTCAACTGCATTAACACAGCAGCTGATAGGAACAAGAAAAAATACTTAAAAGGCATCAGATCAGTTATCTAATAACCGCAAGATATCGCTTAGAACACTTCATTCAGTTTAAAGGAACAGGAGTTCACTGGTACATTAAAGACAACTCAAATTTTATTCCAGCATAAGCTTTCATGGACTACAGCCCACTTTGTCAGATGCAATCCAGTGGGTCCTTACTAGGGTGGCGATCCTGATTCTCCCCCCCCCCCGGTATTTTCTGTGTCAGGAGATCTATTCAATAAGGAGTTACTGTGTTACATCTAGTCCATGCAAACATATGCTGAATAACATTTGGTTAGTGTTTAAGATGGCTTTTTGCTACAAAAGACTAACACTGCTATTCCTCTGAAATTATTGTTCAGTACAGGAGCCACATTTTATGCACAGCATACTGAAGAATTAAAAGAGGATTTTGAAGAGAGCTTTGAGGGCACGTAAGAAATCCTAAAGGCATGAGAGTTGACAATTTTAAAGTGTTTAAAATGCTGTAAGAAAGAAGTTTGTAAGAGAGAAAGAGGGTTCACCATGCCCATCACAGACAGCCACAGAAAGAAAATGTTTAACTAAAACCTAAGAAAATTTCATGTTCTACTTGCTGAATTCCTAACAATGGAACAAACTAAGAATCTTCCTGTTTTGATACTTTCAAGAAATAATTCAGTTAGCAGAGTGGAAGAGTACCTTAACACAGCTGCCACAGAAACCTTGTGGCTAGACTATTGTACATGGCTCTTGCCCTTTAAAACGGCTGAGAAACTACAGCTGGTACAGAATGCTGCAGCTCGATTATTATTGGTAGCTAGGCAGATTATGCATATTACATCCATTCTGCAGTTGCTCCCTCCTTCAAAGCCCTTCATTGCTTAAGATCCACATATCTGCCGGACCGCCACTCCAAACAGGCTCCCCTGCAAGAGCTCTATTCATCTGAGCAAAGCCTACTGAAGGTGCCACCTTGCAAATGGATACGAATGCCAGCTGCCTGTACCCAAGCATTTTCTGGCAGAACATCCTGCCTGGCAAGGTCAGAGAGGCCCCCGTACTCCTTTCATTCTACAGGATGTGTAAAATGGAATTATTCAAAATGGCATTTTTATATAAAATATATAAAGTTGTAATTAATGTTGGTGGAACTGAAAACAGGATTCACTGTATATATTATGCTGTATTTATTCTCTTCTAGTTTTGAAATCCAGTTTTATTACATTGTCTGTTGCATGTAATATAACATTTAACTACACTGCTCTCTAGTCCTGTAACTCCTGTGTTAAAAGGTAAAGGTTCCCTTGCTCGAAAGCCAGTCGAATCCGACTCTAGGGTTGCAATGCTCATCTCCGTTTCAAAGCCCAAGAGCCAGCGCTGTCCGAAGACGTTTCCGTGGTCATGTGGCCGGCATGACGGAACGCTGTTACCTTCCCACCGAAGTGGTCCCTATTTATCTACTTGCAATTTCTTGCTTTCGAACTGCTAGGTTGGCAGGAGCTGGAACTAGAGACAGGAGCTCACCCTGTCTTGCAGCACCCGGGTCTTGAACTGCTGAACTACTGACCTTCCACAGCCTGCAGTTCAGTGTCTTAACCACTGTTACTGTCTGTATTATACTGTGTTTCTAGTGCAATTTTCTCTAATTTTGTTTATAATTACTATGGAGTAACTGTTGTTATATTATTACACTGTTCTTAACTGCCTTGTTATTAGCTGCAATTCACTGTGAGCCTCAGTGAAAAGGTGGACTCTGAATAAGAAAGTAAGGGTTGGGTAAACAGCTGTCATTTTATTCAGAAGTTTGTTTTTTCTTACCTCATCCAGCTTCCGAAAGCGTTCTCTGATAGGTGTTTCTAAATCATGCTGTATTTGTGCTCTTAGTAATTCTAGTTTTTGTGGAGTTATTACCTAATTATCAATAGAAAACAAAACAAAAAAAAGATTTCACCAGCCAACTCCTGAATCAGACTACATACTAGAAAATAAGGAAATTTTCCTATATTCTTTAAAGAGTACAGGGTTTGCAGGTACCATCTCTCAGCATTCTTCCCACTTGGTTTCATGAAAATAAATGGAAATACTCCATCACTACCCAGCTTTTCTGCATTCTACGGGCGGGGGGGGGGGGGGGAGATACAGGGCTAATTGGTCAGCTCATATAAACCAACAAGGTTACTCTTGCTTAGCAAAACGTACTTGATAAACTGATCAAAGCAAACTAAACTACTTATCAGAACTGCAGCTAAAATTGGTGATGTGCATCTAAGATAGATTTCAGACGGTGCTGCTGGGGACTGCTGCTCAGCCCCTATGCTCCCTCTAAGCTGTGGAGTCTTATGAGGAAAAATTCTACTTTGTGAGCTACTGGCATTAAAGTTGTGAGCAAGTGATTTGGCTACTGCATAAATTAGTTTGCTTTGGAGCCATCCTCCCTGAGCTAAGATGAAAATGTGTGAGCTGGAGGCTAAAAAAATGTGAGCTAGCTCACACTAACTCAGCTTAGAGGGAACACTTTGACCTTGATCAATTGGGGTCCCACAAGATTCTATCTTGTCCCCTATGCTTTTTAACATTTACACAAAACTGCTGGGGGCTGTCATACAAAGATATGGGCTGGATAGTCACCAAGATGCAAATGATACTCAGCACTATATCTCACTTCCAGTAGATCCCAGGGAGACTTTTAGAAACCCTGAAATGGTGCCTGGAGGCAGTTGTAGGATGGATGAGGGCTAATAATCTGAAATTGAATCCTGACAAAATAGAAGTGCTATTGGTAGGCACAAGAATTTACCCAGGAACCAATGTATCTCCCATTCCACATCGTGCTGCACTCTCCCTAAAGGAGCATGTTTACAGCTTGTGGGTGCTTCTGCACCCAGGTCTCCTGTTGGATAACTCCATGGGCTGCAGTGGCCAGAAGTGCTACCTTCAGCTGGTGAACCAGCTGTGGCCTTTCCTGGGCAAAAATTCTAACCACTGTGGTATATATGCCTTGATAATATCTAGATTAGACTGTATATGCTGTATATGAGGCTGTCCTTGAAGGGTGTTTGAAAGCAACATTTGGTACAGAATGCTGCAGCCAGGATACCAACTGAAGTAGGTTGTAGGGACCACATCATTACAGTTCTGTTCCATCTACACTGACTTCCAACTGGCTTCTGGGCCAATTCAGGGTAATGGTATTGATCTTTAAAACCTTGGGACCAAGATACCTCAAGGACTGCCTACTTTCGTATGAATCTACCCAACTACAACAGTCATCTTCAGGGACCTTTCTTTGGGATCCTTGGCTATCAGAGGCTAGATGGATGGCAACCCAGGAAAAGTCCTCGTTGCTCTGAAACTCTGGAACTCCCTCCTCAGAGGTATTTGTCTATCCCCCTCTATCATTGTCTTGCACCAGTTTCATTTCGCATTTCCTCACTAACCTACTTCATGTGTATGTGTTTTACTTGCTTATTGTTTTTATTGTGTTTATGCTATGTATTTCATAAGTTTTATTGTTTTTGATTGTTCATTGCCTTGGAATCCTAAACTAGGTGGAAAGGCAGTATAAAATTATTTTAAATAAATAATTAAAAGTATTGTTCCCAAAAGTCCCAACTCTGTGCAATAATTAATCTAAGTAGCTAGTCAAAAGAAAGTGATGGCAGTCTGGGATATTTCGCCAATTTTTTTCTTTTTATAACCCTCTAGAACTATTTTTGCTTTGGTAGGAAGGGCAGGGTATAGATAGAATAAAATAAATAATAAATAAATTTTTACCTTTTTAGGGAAAGGGATTCTGTCATAAGGAAAGCTAAATAACTGTATTCTGCCAAAGATAGTACTTCAGAAGTATCACAATAACTTGGCAGATTTTCTATTTCTGAACTACTAAAGAAAAAGATAATTCAAAACAGACAAAATCATCTCACTCTTCAGATGCCTCCTGTAAGCTACTGGTAAGCTTAACAATATGGACTGGGAACCAGTGAACTATGAAACTAGACCTGTGAGTCAAAGGAGTTTTTAGATTTGTTCCCTCACCCCCAGTATATCACACACAAACTGACAAGAGTTTCAGGACATCTTGTGATGTGGGACTCTGCCGTTCAAAGGGAGGGGAGAGAATAATACATTCTGTAGGTCAAGCACAACCCCCTCATGTAAATCTAAGATTTTTTTTAATACAGGCCACTTTATTACAATCATTCAGGCACAGAATTCAGGCAGCGAAATGCAAATCAAGTACTGTAAGACAATAAGATTATGATGACCTCACCTGCGTCTTTAATTCCTCTACTTCTCTGGTTTTATCCAATAATTCCTCTCGGAATTCAGCAAGCAGAACCTGAAATTTGTCGTGAACAGTTTGCTTTTCATGTAGCAGCTGCTTGAGGTCATTTTGTGATCTTATATATTCATTCTGCAGCCTAGAAAGATATTTTTTATTTGATGTTATACTATAACATATCTATCTTTAAATGAGCGATCTAACTGTTAATAAGAATTTCTTACAAATACCAAGGCACAACAACAGTTCAGAGGCACAAAGAATGGTACTTCAATACTGTGCGTATTTCTCAAGTGTATTAAATAAAATTATCATATCAAACATTTGAAAAACTCATCATCCCAAAGGCTTATGGCAAACACAAGCCTACAGCAGTGTGGTGATTTATGTGGCATGTTATTTATGTAGAACGGCTTGTCACACAAACCCAGTGGCTTTCATCATGCAAGTATAACTTGCAAAAAAAGATAAAAGGATTGTAGGAACACTGTTTTAATAATTCAGAATAACTGCAACTGATTTGCTTGTAAGAAACAGTTTTTCATTACTGAAAGTGTATATGTACCCAAATAGCATAGAAACGCTCAGGAAAAAAACAGCCCTTTACTCTTTTGACTCTTGATTTTACTTTCTCCCCCACCCAACAGATAAAGAAAGGAAGCAAAGTAAATACCTTGTATGTTCTTCCTTTAGAGTTTGGTAATTGATTTTATGATGCTCACATCGCATTCTTTCATCAATTAATAGTTTTTGCAATTCTGCTTGTGCATTAACAAGATCACCATGCCCACCCGCTGGAGCAACGAAGTTTGGAAAAGCATCCATTCTGATGAAATACTAAGGAGATGACAGTCAGGTCAAACTGCTGTCAGCCCGAGCCTACCATCGTCACAGAGGCTGTTCTCTCCCCTGATGGCATCCCAAGAGGCCAAATTACCTGTACAAACATAAAAGCACCTAATTAGTAGTCAATGCATTTGTGGTTTACAAGATTTTTTAATGACTACAAGATATATTACAGAAGACACAGGTTTTTGCTAAAATATACATTTCTTTGCTAACATATATATTTGGTTTCTTAAATCTAATTTCATTTACAAATTACAGTTCTATTAAAGCAAGTATATTTACTTGATAAAATACTTTGGAAGTAAAAAAATATAATGTCCCACAGCTTAAACTTTGCTACATTCCTAGCAATCCCTCTGGGTGTTATACATCTGTTCTGCAGAACAGTGTTTACTCTGAAGTATCATGTGGAAGTCAAACTGTTCTATGTCCTCAGATGAAAAGACATTCTTTGTAATGACAGATGCGCAACAGCCATAACATTCCACACTCTACCTATGTTGGCTTTATTGTTGAAATGTTCCCTGACATTATTAGTTTTAGCAGTTGTAGCAGAATGCCACAGTTGACCGCATTTTATGCAATTAATTGTTTTCCCTTTACATAAGCATGTCTAAACTTGCCAACAGAAAGACAAAATAAAGAAAAAACCAATAATTTAAAAGGATAAGTCTCAGGTGTTAGAATGAGGTAGACTACAAATCAAAACAATATGGTGTCCCAATCTTGCAGAATGCCAAACTGCAGGGAATTTCTGGAAAGGTTAAAAACCCATTCTTGTTGTGACATGAAGATTGCAGAAACAGAACAAAGTTTGAGTCCAGTGGCACCTTTAAGACCAACAAAGTTTTATTCAAGGTGAGCTTTCATGTGCACACATCTTGAATAAAACTTTGTTGGTCTTAAAGGTGCTTCAGGCCAACACGGCTACCCACCAGATTGTAGGAATAGTTATGAGAGATGTATTATGTAAAAATATTTTTATTTATATAAGCATTTAGTGATCCTTAATTAATATAAAAGTCTATTCATTGTTGTATATCATTATTAAATACTTTTATTGGTTTAAAATTATTAATCTTCCTTTAAGCAGAAATCATTGTCAGAAGCCTTGATTTGTTAATGTCCTGAACTGGATAGCTCAAACTAGGCCAATCTTGTCATATCTTGCAAGTTATGCAGGGTCAGCCCTGGTCATTTGGATGGGAAACCACCAAGGAATACAAGGGGCACAATGGCAAACCACCTCCAAATGTCTCACCTTGAAAACCCTATGGGGTCAACATAAATTGGCTGCAACTTGAAAGCATAAAACCTCCAAAACTATATTGAAATTACAATTTGGATTATACTGACATCTTGTGGAAAAGCTTCCAAATGTTTAAAATTTTGCACGAGATGATTTCTCTGGCATTACACAAGATCAAAAGCTGCCACATAATCAGTTTAAGATATCCTATGACTGGTCTACCTTAGCCAGCATATACCTTAACAGTAAGAGTGAAGGTAGTGGATCATTCCTTACAAATGAATCCCTATGACAGCTTCCTGGAGAGGCACTGCACCCTGCTGTGTCTCATGGGGAGTGAAGGCACAGAATATCATATTCTCTTTTTATGTCACCAGTTCTGGAGCACATGCCTTAGGGAGGCTTGCTTTGCTCAGTCATTATTGAGTTTTGGGAAAGCAGAGAAAACTAGGTGTTCTGCTAAAGGCCTTTCTGAATTTTAAATATGCGGTGGGAGTTTTATTTTCAGATTTTGACTACAGTCCTCTTCATCAGATACCCCGTTTTCCCGAAAATAAGACCTACCCCCAAAATAAGCCCTAGCAGGATTTCTATGCATTTGTGGTATAAGCCCTAATGTGTCTTCTTGAGAAAAAATAAATATAAGACAGTGTCTTATTTTGGGGGAACACGGTATGTGACCCGAGTCCTCCGGTGGCAGATCATAGAGCACAGAGGGGAAAAAGACATCAACGGTGGTTTCAAAGGGCACTGAAGTGGTGGACTCTATGGCATTGTACCATGCTGAGGTCCCTTCCTTCCCCAAACCTCACCCTCTCCTGGATCCACCCCCACATTCTATGGGAATTTTCCGATCAAGAGCCGGCAACCCTGTCCAAGAGACAAACCATCCCATCCCCGTGCAAAGCACACAATGCTAAGGTATGTCATAGTCTGAACCTGTAATAACGCTTCGCCCTTTGACCGCGCTGTTACATCCCCCCCCCCTCCTCCTCCTCCACTAGCCGCTTTAGGTGTATCTGCCCAGGGAGGACGCTTCGTGCTGATCAAGCGTCCTGTGCACGACAAAAAGCGTATGCCACGATAACCGTGAGTCTCGAAGGCCGTTTTTGCTTTGGCTCTTGGACAAAAGTCGTGCGTGGCGAATGAGGCCAAACCTAACGGATCCTGGTAGACTCGGCAGGCAGTCGCCGGGCTGCAGGAGCCAAGCGCGGCCGGAGCTTTCGGTGCAGGAGAAGAGCAGGGAAAGCTCTGACCCTCAGTGGGACGGCCCTCGTCAAAAGACGAGAATCCCAGGGCTCTTCGGCAACGCGCGGGCCCTGCCACAGCGCCACGACCGCGCACTCCTTCCGCCCTCCTTCCCTCACCTACCAGCAACACCAACTGTCGGCCGTTTAAAAATGGCGCCTCCGCTCCGTTCGCCCCGCCTCTTCGATTTCGCTGCCTTGAGCCCTCTCGGGACCCGTATACTTTCCTACCTTTCCATTTCCAAGCTGTGGGCAGTAACCCACCGGAGAAGATTTTCGCCAGGCCCTGGAGCATCACGGGAACGCGGAAGCTGGGTCGCGGCTGTCGAACAGAAAGTGTGGCGCGAAGCGGCGAGAGGGTGGCGCTGATTCCCTTCCTCTTGGAAGGCAGCTGATCGCAGAACAGCGCCTTTCTGTATGTTTGTACTGGGAAGGAAATAGTATTGAATGTAATGAGGTTTACGCGCAAATAAATGTGCAGAGCAGCCTCGGTTAATGTTACAGAGGTCAAAAAACAAGGATTTGAGGTATAAAGACCATTGGTGTCTGCCATCCGGTGTCTACTATTTGGGAGTAAATTCTTTGGCGGGACCTACTTCCAAGTACGATAATGTATGTACGTTGTGCCCTCTAGGACTGTAGTAGGTGTACACTGAGAGAATGGTCATTTTATTACAATGTATAACACACAACGTTCCGTAACAGCGTTCCGTGCGCCTTGGTGTTTAGTCATGCCGGCCACATGACCACGGAAACGTCTTTGGACAGCGCTGGCTCTTCGGCTTTGAAACGGAGATGAGCACCGCAACCCTAGAGTCGGATTCGACTGGCTTTCGAGCAAGGGAACCTTTATAACACACAAGGGATGCACTAAAAGGAATGACAGGATTGCCCACTGGAAACAATGGGAGAGGCTTGAAGGCCCATTGGAGATAATGGGAGTCAGGAATCCGAATTGACTTGCATGGGCTCCATTGAAATACATTGCAGCGCAAAAAAGTTGCAAAGAAAATGCGGAATGGATTTTCCATTAAGGTCTCTGGGCCCAGATAGACTGCTTTGGAACTAGAATGAACAACCCTCAGAGTGGAATGGTGGTCCCTAGGAATAGAAACAGTGCTATGGGGCTAGAATGACAGGTCACAGAGTGGAATGATGACTTTGGGGAGCAATGCTCCCTCTTAGCTGTGGAGTCTTGTGAGCCAAAATTCTATTTTGTGAGCTCCTGGCATTAAAGTTGTGAGCGAGCGATTTGGCTACTGCATAATTTGTCTGCTGTCTGCAGCCATCCTTCCTGAGCTAAGACAAAAATGTGTGAGCCGGAGGCTTAAAAAGTGTGAGCTAGCTCACACTAACTCAGCTTAGAGGGAACACTGCTTGGAAGTAGCAGAGCATTCAGGGAATGGAATGACAGGGTGCAGGGTGGAACAAAAGCCTCTGGGAATAGGCTGAGTGCTCTGGGACTGGAGTGATAGGGCACAGAGTGGAATGACCGCCCCTGGGAGTAGCAGAAGTGTTCCAGGACTGGAATGACAGTCCCCAGAGTAAAATGACAGTCCCCAGTAGAAGAATATGTGCTCTCTGGGACTGGAATGACAACCTCCGGGGGGGATGACAATCCCTGGGAGTAGCAGAAGTGTTCTGGGATTGGAATGACAGGTCAGAGAGTGGAATGGCAGCCCTGGGACTAGCAGAAGCATTCTGGGACTGGAATGACAGACCCCAGAGTGGAATGATGGTCCCTGTGCTCTGGGACTGGGATTACAGGTTACAGAGTGGAATGACAGCCCCCAGAAAGGAATGAGGGCTCCTGGGAGTGGAGTCAGTTCTCTGCAACTGGAATCACAAACTGTAGAGTGGAATTAAATTCTTTATCCCAGAAGTCATTTTGTGTTTGCACTCACCATGCTGTGTGAGAATTACAAAGGTGCCTGCAGGCTCAAAACAGTAGGGGACCCCTGAGCTAGAGTATGGGATGGGATTTTTCACAGAAAGACTATGCTGGGGTGCTCTGCATCAGTGGTCAACAGAGTGGGCAAAAGTGTGCAAGGAACTCAGGAAGGGAGTGACATGTAGTGGGAACATGGAGGGCAGGAAAGCTGCAGAATTGGACACTGGAACTGGAAGGGGGGACAAGGGCCAGATTTATACTTGAAAATAGAGGAGGTTGCTGACATCAACCTCATGAATTTGTAAGAAAACTGAGCAGCTGAGAGGCAGGATAATTATTGAGGTGGAGCTGATTCAGCGCTAAGTACACACTTTCCAGAAATATTAACTAAAATGTAAAGTATTTAATTCCCCTCGGGTTTGTGATTCCAGTTGCAGAGCACTGACTCCACTTCCAGGAGCCGTCATTCCACTCTGGGGGCTGTCATTCCAGCCCCAGAACACAGATTCCCTTTCTGGGGACCGTCATTCCACTTTGGGAGTTGTTAGTCCTGTCCCAGAACACCTCTGCTACTCCTAGGGCTGTCATCCCATTCTGGGAGATGTTATTCCAGTTCCAGAGCACTGAGCCTATT